TTTGTTCGGGGTTGTGCTATAGTGTTGTTTGTTTCAGTTTGGAGTTCACGATGTGTTGTTCTTATCCGGTGCCTTTTGGCACCGTGAGTTAAATGTATGTGTGTGTGTGTGTGTGTGTGGGGGGGGGGGGGGGGGGGGGGGGTGAAAAGGGGAGCCATCCGGCTATTAAAGTGTTCTATGTCTGCTGTCGACTCTTTTTTTGCTGCTTCACACACACCCCGCTAGAGGGCGGCACAGCCCGCTACAATATAATCAAACCACATCCATAACCTATGATGGAGCATTTATACATTGGTCAGCTCGGTCTAGGGGACACCCGCCGCCACGCAGCCAGGTCGTGTCTCCAACAGCCTTCAAGGTTTTCTCAGGAGCTCAGATGTGGGTGAGGACAAAGGTGGGTTCCACTAAAGGGTTGTGGAGAAGCTCGTGGGTGTGTCATTCCTGAGCGTCACAAGTTAATAAACAAACACGGTGTTGCTTATGGAGACTGACATGAAGCACGCAGCTTCCTACTCATCTCACTGAGCTGCCCTGGGCTTCTCTCTCCCATCCAAGAGCACTGACAGCAGACCCTCATACCTCTGCTGCTGCCGAAGCTCTGACCAGTCCGAGCTACAGAGAAGATGTTTACCCCACTGCATCGATACTGAACCGCTCATGTGAGAAGCTGCCGCTGACTGATTCTACCTGCACCAATCAGAAGCTCTCACTTGTAGGTGTGATAGCGACGTAACTTCAGCTGGTCAATCAGTGCACAGGTGAGTGTGTGCGGTCGGCTCAGAACGAAACAAACTGAAGAAGAAGAAGAAAGTATCATTTCTATAGCGCCTCTCAAGATAACAACTGCAGGGAAGCAGAGCCGTATCCTTGGACAAGACACTTCATATTCCTTGCCTGCTGATGGTGATCAGAGGGATCAGTGGTACCTGCCAGCCTTGCCTCTGTCAGTGTGCTCCAGCTTAACTCTGGCTGTAATGTAGCTCATCAACATCAGCGTGTGAATGGATGAATGAACAGTGTGAGTCCTCTGATCCAAAAAGGCACCATACAAATACAATTAATCATTTATCAAATGTAAGCCTCCATGCAAATAAAAATATCTGTGTGAACTTTATACACACATGATAGTGAACTGTCTCATTTCAATACAAATAGAAAGCACAAGCAAAACATTCACTAACTGAATGTTTAACAAATGGAAGGATTGCCGTCTAGTGGACAAATGTGAGTACTGCAGGTACTCTACAGAGTCTCAGGTGAGGGATGAGCCTACAACACCTCTAAGATTACAGGTGCTGGCCAGTAAATTAGAATATCATCAAAAGGTTGAAAATATTTCAGTAATTCCATTCAAAACGTGAAACTTGTACATTATAGTCATGCAATGCACACAGACCAATGTATTTCCGATGTTTATTACGTTTAATTTTGATATTTATAGGTGACAACCAATGAAAACATCAAATCTGGTATCTCAGAAAATTAGAATATTCTAAAGGCCAATGAAAAAATGTTTGTTTCTCTAATGTTGGCCAACTGAAAAGAATGAACATGAAAAGAATGTGCATGTATAGCACTCAATACTTAGTCGGGGCTCCTTTTGCCTCAATAACTGTAGTAATGCGGCGTGGCATGGACTCGATCAGTCTGTGGCACTGCTCAGGTGTTATGAGAGCCCAGGTTGCTCTGATAGTCGTCTTCAGCTCCTCTGCATTGTTGGGTCTAGCGTATTGCATCCTCCGCTTCACAATACCCCATAGATTTTCTATGGGGTTAAGGTCAGGCGAGTTTGCTGGCCAATCAAGGACAGGGATACCATGGTCCTTGAACCAGGTGCTGGTGGTTTTGGCACTGTGTGCAGGTGCCAAGTCCTGTTGAAAGGTGAAGTCTGCATCCCCATAAAGTTGGTCAGCAGCAGGAAGCATGAAGTGCTCTAAAACTTCCTGGTAGACAGCTGCATTGACCCTGGACCTCAGGAAACAGAGTGGGCCAACACCGGCAGATGACATGGCACCCCACACCATCACTGACGGTGGAAACTTTACACTGGACCTCATGCAACGTGGATTCTGTGCTTCTCCGCTCTTCCTCCAGACTCTGGGTCCTTGATTTCCAAAGGAAATGCAGAACTTGCTTTCATCAGAAAACATAACTTTGGACCACTCAGCATCAGTCCAGTCCTTTTTGTCCTTGGCCCAGGCGAGACGCTTCTTGCGCTGTTTCTTGTTCAAGAGTGGCTTGACACACGGAATGCGACACCTGAATCCCATGTCTTTCATGAGTCTCCTCGTGGTGGTTCTTGAAGCGCTGACTCCAGCTGCAGTCCACTCTTTGTGGATCTCCCCCACATTTTTGAATGGGTTTGTCGTCACAATTCTCTGCAGGGTGCGGTTATCCCTAGAGCTTGTACACTTTTTTCTACCACATTGTTTCCGTCCCTTCGCCTGTCTGTTAATGTGCTTGGACACAGAGCTCTGCGAACAGCCAGCTTCTTTAGCAATCACCTTTTGTGTCTTGCCCTCCTTGTGCAAGGTGTCAATGATTGTCTTTTGGACAGCTGTTAAGTCAGATGTCTTCCCCATGATTGTGGTGCCTTCAAAACAAGACTGAGGGACCTTTTAAAGGCCTTTGCAGGTGTTTTGAGTAAATCAGCTGATTAGAGTGGCAGCAGGTGTCTTCTATATTCAGCCTTTTCAGAATATTCTAATTTTTTGAGATACCAAATTTGGAGTTTTCATTAGTTGTCACTTATGAATATCAAATTTAAATGTAATGGACATTGGAAATACATTGGTCTGTGTGCATTGCATGAATATAATGTACAAGTTTCACGTTTTGAATGGAATTACTGAAATATTTTCAACCTTTTGATGATATTCTAATTTACTGGCCAGCACCTGTATATCATGTTAGTGGAAGGCCTTTGTTTATTTATGTAGTCCATGGGGATTGCCTCATAGGAAAATAATTCTAAACATATTAAAGACAAAACACAATTAACTTACTTCCTGTGGTTTCCTGAGCACATGGAGCATCAGAGGGAGTGTGGACGCTTAAACATATGTAGGAACTCTAAGCTATGAGGCTGCACAGCAAAGCTGAGCCACCTCTAGGACTTATAGGGAAAATGAAGTCTGACAATTACAATCGACTGTTTCTTTTAACGTAATCTTTGTTTCTTCGTGTGCTTAAGTGTAATAAGTGTAACCTTGTTTTTGTGGCAGTGTGAGTGTCCTGTCACAGTGTCCCGATTGATCATGCGCCCTGGCTACTTGCCCAAGGGGATGTCCCTTTGGATGACTGGTTAGCGCGCATGACTCTCACCCGGGAGTCTGAGGATCGAATCCCGCCCGGGCCCTCGTTTATCCATCTTGCTACATTTGGGCGTTGTTGGCAGGATCCATGTAGTACTGTCAAGTAGGTCCATGGATGTGAAGTTTGTGGCACCCTGCGCAAGAGCACGAGGACGTGCTTGTGGAAAGAGGGGGGAAGATGTGGCAGTGTGAGCGTCCTGTCACAGTGTCCCGATTGATCATGCGCCCTGGCTACTTGGCCAAGGGGATGTCCCTTTGGCTGACTGGTTAGCGCGCATGACTCTCACCCGGGAGTCTGAGGATTGAATCCCGCCCGGGCCCTCGTTTCTCCATCTTGCCACATTTTGATGACAGATGACATCTCCTCGTGAGATGTGTAAGCTGCAGCTGTTGCACACCTGCTCAGACGGTTAAAAACTGGATTGCTGGGAATTTCAGACAAGATCCTTATTTGTGCACAAGACAAGCTGGTTCCCACACCTTTCTTCTCCTCACGCTTAGACTACTGTAACTCTCTTTTCATGTATCTGAGCAAAACCTCCCTGAACCGTCTACAGGTGGTTCAGAATGCCTGTGCTCGGCTTCTGACCAAGTCCTCCAAACACACCCACATGACCTTGCTTCTCCTCCAGCTTCACTGGCTGCCAGTCAACTTCAGGTTTGAAGATCCTGGCTCTGGTCTATTGGTGATCTTCTCAGTCCCTGTACCCTCAACAGGTCCCTGAGGTCCAGTGACCAAAGCCTACTGGTTGTGCAGCGCACCAGACTAAAGACCAAAGGTGACAGATCATTTGCTGCTGTGGCATCCAGACTCTGGACCTCTCTCCTCCTGAGCCTGAGATCAGTGGACTCAGTGGTCTTCTCCTTTAAAAAGCAGCTGAAAACTCACCTGTTCAAGCTGGATTTACCTGTTCATCCTATTGTTCCTCATGCAGCTTCTACCAATTCAACCTTTTTTGGGATTCTGTGATTACCTTTTTTCTTTTTCATTTGTATTCACATTTTTATCTTACCCCCCCCCCCCCCCCTTAACATTTTAAAATCATTTAGATTTTTTAGTATTCTTGTGAAGCACCGTGTGACAGTTAACTTGAGAGGCGTCTCTTCTTTTTAATTATTGCTGCTGCCTATCATACTCGGGTGGGCCTCCCTTGGGAAATAAGAATTCAATCCGGCAAAAAAAAAATAAAGAAAATTCATTCAAGTCTCTCTCTCTCTCTCTCTCTCTCTCTCTCTCTCTCTCTCTCTCTCTCTCCCTCTGTCGTGTTAACTCCACCCGCCGCCCCTCCGCCTCGGCAGCCGGTTGTTAAATGATGTGGAGCCAAAGCGTTCTTACGTCATCAAAACAGGAAGTTATTTGCAACACGCTAGCGTGGCGTGTGGGACCATACCAAACCAGATAAATCAGCAGCGTGTTGGTTTTACTACCCGGATTGGTCGCGTTCGGTCCGCCTCCATGGACGTTGAACAGGAGCAGCACCACCTCGTTTCGGTTAAATAAACCCAGCGGCTAAGCCTCATTTCGGCGGACCGTTCGCCTATGATGGAACGGGCGATGGAGCAGCTTAATGTACAGCTCAACCGTCTGACACGCTCCCTCCGACGGGCCAGAACCGTGGAACTCCCCGAAGGTATTGTGTCTTAATTCGAGACTCAAACAAAGCCTAAAGAACCGTAACGACACTTTCATAGAGTGCGACCAGCTGCTTCCGGTTGTTCTGGCACATCCACCGAACATGAGCTGGGTTGTGACCTCACACACACCTGGAGGGTTCAAGTCTGGACCAAACACAAAGGATCAGATCGGTGCCTTTGATTTTGCGGTGCTGTTCTGTGTCCTTGTCATTTTTTCGTAGAAGGCGCTTTTCAAATGAACTCTACGTATCACTTGGAGTAAAAAACCAAGAAAGGACAACAGTTTTCCATAAGCAGAGGCACTTCTTCCTAACTATGTATTTTGATTCTTGCTGATTTACATCAGTCCATTATGGAGCTTCAGCTTCTGTACTAACTTCTACATACCGGTCTGCCGTGGTAAAGCTCTCGATTTACCGGTCGATCTACGTTTCTACCTTCACCTATGGTCATGAGGTTTGGGTAGTGACCGAAAGAACGAGATCGCAGGTACAAGCGGCCGAAATTAGTTTTCTCCGCAGAGTGGCTGGGCTCTCCCATAGAGATAGGATGAGGAGCTCGGTCATCCGGGAGGGGCTCAGGGTAGAGCCACTCCTTCTCCACATCGAAATGAGCCATTTGGGGTGGCTAAAGCTTGGTTTATGCTTGACGCATTCACTTTCCGCGCGGTGATGCGACTCGCGGATGGAACGCGCTTCACAACTCGCAGTGTTTATGGTTCGTGCGGCTCGTTTCTGCGGTGAGCCAATATTCTCCCAAACTGAATGGGGCAGCATGGAGCTCTATGACAAACATCCAACACTACACCATAGTAGAAGTAGAAATTACTGTTTACAACACGGCATTCCATCATTTTTAACAGCGTTCTCGTCTTTTCCGACAGTGCGAGCTATTTCTCTCCAAGAACTATTAACAACATGTTGATCACGGTGATCTCTGAGAGCTGAAGCATACAAATGTCTATATTTACGAACCTCTGCCATACTAGTTCTTGCCTGTCCGCCATGTTTTTCCGCGTCCGTCCGTCCTTCCGTCCGCGTGGTTAGAAATTTTCCGAGGTACGCGTTGCGGAAATTCTGGGCCGTGCGGAGGCGCGGTGGAGTGGCGTGGTTGTTAAAATGACACAACGTTTCCGCGCGGAGCCGTGCGGACCTCGCGGACGCGTCAAGCATCAACCAACCTTTAGGCAGCTAGTTAGGATGCCTCCTGGACACCTCCCTGGTGAGGCTTTCCGGGCACATCCAACCAGGAGGAAGACCTAAAGGAAGACCCAGGACACGCTGGAGGGACTATGTCTCTCAGCTGGCCAAGGAACGCCTTGGGATTCCTTCGGAGGAGCTGTCCCAAAGTATGGGAACCAGCTGACGAGGGAGAGGGAAATGTGGGCCTCTCTGCTTAGGCTGTTGCCACCGTGACCCAACCCTGAATAAGTGGACGACGATGATGGATGGATACTTTATTTTTGTGTTTTTAGCTCCAGTAAAGTCTTGTCACCAAGACCTTGTCATTTGTGGATGTTCAGTTTCTTACTAAAATATGTAATTTCACCAAAATCCTGTCTGTCTTTAAATTACTGTTAAATCAGTCTTCTCCATTCTGATGGGATTGGTTGTAGTCTGATGTTATTAAGCTCATAAATGTTTCTTTACAGACAATGAGACTGCAGTGTACACCCTGATGCCAATGGTCATGGCTGACCAGCACAGGTAAGTGTTCCAGCACAGGCTGTGCTGGTGTTGTCTGACATTTATTACACATGTTACAGCTGAGATTTTGACTTTAACTGTTGCTGTTGTTTTGAAAAGATCCGTGTCCGAGTTGCTTCTGAACTCCAAGTTTGATGTGAACTATGCCTTTGGACGGGTGAAGAGAAGTCTGCTACACATAGCTGCCAAGTAAGATGGTTGGAATAATATGTGCAAATATAGAATTTCTCTACTTGGTTAAAAGTAATTTTAAGCTAAATCTATAAATACATTTTGGATGTCATTAGTTCAAATGACAAACCATTCATAAAAGATGATTTCTGGCTTTTTATTCCCAAGGTTCTCAACTGTTGACTTGTCAAGGAAGATAATGTTCTCAAATTTTTCGTTAAAGGTGTGAGTGACTGAAAACCAGTTTTAATAATTCTAACTGATTACAGTGCTATCTATGTCACACTATCACCAGAGATGATTTGTAGTTTTCACCGTTGGTCAATAACTTTTTTTATTTTAGTCAATAGCTTCTGCCAGGAATATTGTTGTTGTTCTCCTCCTCTAAAGACCTTGTTTATGCTAAAACATGCATTGTTGCTCTCTTCAAGAGCTGCAGGGAGCAAATGAGCCGTTCGATCACCAGTAATGACGTAATGTTTAACCCTCCCACTGTCCTAATGGGTGTGACCCCGTGAGGAAAGTTGACCATTGAACAGGGTTGATGGTTTATCCCTTGGGTCCATGTGGCAGGTGTGAGGAGTGAGCACCACCTCACACCTGCCACGTGGACCTCAAGGGAAAAGCCATCAACCCTGCTCAATGGTCAACTTTCCTCGCATGGTCACCCATAAAGACAGTGGGAGGGTAAAAAAGTTAAGAAATCATAACTCTGCAATAGTCCTCTATTTTTAAATTTACTGGGTACTTTGCACTAAGGTGTGCTGTCCTGTCTAGCCCTGTGTTATCTGTGAAGCTTGATGCATCCCAGATGCATGTTGGGTTAGGGTTGGGGTCAAAATTACATCCATGAACTTGAGTATGCGCTTGGTTGTGCCGATCTGCTTGGAAGCACAGTGTGACACGTTGGATATTCTTGGTCTGATTTTTGAGGACAAATGGACAAACAAGCGTGCTGCCTGTTGAATGTGACGTGTAGCCAATCAGAAAGTCAGGTTGATGGAAGTGCACTGCATGCTTCACCACCACCTTATACTCTGAAGTGATGTTGATCTTGTGAGATTTCCCATCTGACTGGGGAATGTTTGTGTGTGAAATCAGTTCCCGAAGCAGGAATCAAGCTAGAATATCAGTGATTTTGTTATTGCCATGTGTGCTCTAGCTTTGAAAATGGTTTGACTGTCCTGAATCCTGCTGTGTGAAATAGGCCTAAAGTTCCACGTTATTGTCTAAAGTTTTGGTGTGTTTTCCATGTTCAGCTGTGGGTCAGTGGAGTGCCTGGTTTTGCTGCTGAAAAAAGGAGCTAATCCAAACTACCAGGACATCTCCGGCTGCACCCCTCTCCACCTCGCTGCCAGGAATGGGTAGGATCTTTCATACTTTCTTGGAGCTTTTCTTCTTTTTTCCCTGTAAATTTTCAGGTTTTATTCTGCTTTTGTTTAATTTTACAATTTTTATCTGTGCATTTTCAACTTTTCTCCCCATCTTTCCTTTAAAGAGTTTCACATATTGTAGTTTTGTCCTTTACTCATATGAACTATTCAGATTTATGTTTTAAGTACTTGTCAGGTAAGTAAATGAATTCTCCGTAATCCGTCGTATTACGAACGACTGATATTACTTTTCATATCAGCATTAATAAATATCACGATATAAAACAAATATGTGCCCCCCGGTAACTATAAAATGATATTTGTAGATCTTAAAGGTTAATTTTTTTTAAATTTTAATATAGTTTTCAAGATTCCCAGACAACCGATCAAAACTTCCAGAACCTCGGACTGAACGACTTAACACACACACACTCACTCACTCACTCACTCACTCACTCACTGCCTTGCCAGCCAACATAGTTAAAAGTGAACTGCTTTCAAATGCAGCAGGACCCCACCACCCAAACATCTCAACATGAACAGAAACACACTCGCATAGAACAACTCCTTAAATAAACTTAAAACTTTTCCTAACTTTTTCTTCCATTGTTTCTCTAGACAGAAAAAGTGCATGGCCAAGTTGTTGGAATATAATGCTGATGTCAACATCTGCAACAACGAGGGACTTACTACGGTGAGTGAACTCTTTACTTGTAGATGATCTGTTTTGACTTCACCGTATACAGTTTAAACACTGTCATGTGACTCTGTGCTGCAGATCCACTGGCTGGCCGTGAACGGGCGAACTGAGCTCCTGTATGATCTGGTTCAACATGTGTCCAATGTGGATGTGGAAGATGCTATGGGGCAAACTGCTCTACATGTAGCATGTCAGAATGGACACAAAACGGTAAGAAACACACCTCTACAATTACAACAACTTGCCATTAATTCTAAAAGTCATTTGATCTGCCCGTATGCTACGTTTCTGAGACTTTTCTAGCCTGAGACACTGAATCTGCCAAAATAAATGTGTTATAAGCCCGTTCTAACTAATGTGATTTGTGCTATTTTCAAAGCAGATTGTATTTGAGCCTTGATGTTTTTATTGTTGTAGAGAGCCCATTCTAGACTTTATTTAGTTTCCTGTTGTCATTTGTGTCCAACATGGCTTCCTGTTTTATTCAAATCAACTGCAGAATAATTACATTCCCATTTAGTCACTGTTGAACAAACACAAAGTTAAACTAGTCCAAACTCTCACGAAGAAGAGTCCGAGACAGACGGGGTGGGGTGGGGGCATTGAGTTTGACTTAACGTAGTTTCTCACTAGTAGATACCTAAAGAACTGTGAACCACTGGTGGTCAAATTCCATATCCGTAACTCAGGAAGCAAATGTTCCATCAACATTAACTGCCTTGTCAAAAAAAAAGTCACACTCTTTCATTTTTTGTTGAACCACCTTTAGCTTTGATTACGGCATGCATTTGTTGTTTCAGTGGGCTTCTGCAAAGTCAAAAGATTTACTTCCACCCAATGTTGCATTCATTTTTCAACAAGATCTTCAATTGATGATGGTAGAGTCGGACCGCTGCACAAAGCCTTCTTCTGCACATTCCAATGATTCTCCATGGGGTTAAGGTCTGGACTCTGTGGTGGCCAACCCATGTGTGAAAATGATGCATCATGCTTTCATACTTTGAGCCTGATGAATACTGGCATTGTCATCTTGGAATATATGTGTCATCAGGGAAGAAAACATCCTTTGATGGAATAACATGGTCATTCAGTAAATTCAGGTAGTCAGCTGACCTCATTCTTGGACCACATCCTGTTGCTGAACCTAGACCTGACCAACTGCAGCAACCCCAGATCATAGCACTGCCCCCACCGGCTTGTACAGTAGGCACTAGGCATGATGGGTGCATCACTTCATTTGCCTCACTTCTTACCCTGATGCACCATCGCTCTGGAACAGGGTCAGTTTGGACTCATCAGACCAAGAACACATATGGACACCTTTATGTTTCAACGTGTTGTTCATTATGGACAATCCATGACTAGCACAGAAGTCCAAAAACAAAACACAGCTGCGATTCAGATCAGAAGGGCTGTTCCTCCCAACCACACCTCTCCAGGTTTCACTATCATTGCCCACGTGAGCGTTAAACTACCCCAGTAGAACGAGGGGAGTCACCGGATGGAGCACTCTCCAGCACCTCCTACAAGGAGTCCCAAAAGGGTGGGTCACCTTAGCTGCAGTTTGGTGCATAAGCACAAACCACAGTCGGAACATATCCCCCCACATGTAGGCGGAAAGAGGCAACCCTCTCGTTCACCAGGGTAAACCCCAACTTACCGGCACCAAGATGGGGGGCAATTACCGTATTTTCCGGACTATAAGTCACACTTCTTTTCATAGTCTGGCTGGTCCTGCGACTTATATACCAAAGCGACTTATAAATTATGTAGGCAATACCGCGCTGCTGCCGGTCGGCTCCGACCCAGAAATGAGCTCCCCTGTCCCGCTGGGAGGGTTTCAAACACCGCTATCACCTGCTGCAGCCTGTGGCGGGGTGCTGTGGGCCGGCTCTGGCCCAGGAATGAGGTTCCCTGTCCCGCTGGGAGGGTTTGAAACACCGCCATTCTCTGCTGGAGACCGTGGTGTGCTGCTGCGCATACTGCTGTTGCAACAGCTGGTTGTTTATTCTGTTATTGTTACCGGTACTTGTCTTGCAATGTGAAATGCTTGGTCTCAGATTTTGTAAGAAAAAATAAAATTTCCCCCCAGAATGCGACTTATAGTGTGACTTATATAGTTTTTTTTCTTCTTCATTATACATTTTATGGCTGTTGCGACTTATGCTCCAGAGTGACTTATAGTCCGGAAAATACGGTAGTATGCCCACCCCTGCTTGGTGCCATTAATCCCAGCCAGGAGACACCGTTGATATCTGGGTTTTGCCTTGACAATAGCCAAAGGCTCGATAGCAACTGCAAATATGAGAGGCGACAATGAGCATCGCTGCCTACTTCCAAGTTACAAATGATCTGAAACTGTATTAATACGGACAGCTGCAACCTTTCTCCTATATGAAAAAAATATTTGATATAACGGAAAAGAAAAACCTGTTGTTTCTTCTGGTCCTTGTGTGCGTTTGTGTTTGCAGACGGTGTTGTGTCTTCTGGACAGTGGAGCTGACATCAACCGACCGAACGTCTCAGGAGCCACACCCCTTTACTTTGCCTGCAGGTCATACCACTTCTCACCAACCCCTTGTTTTCCTCTTTCCTCCGCTAACAGACTATCTTTCAGTCGTAACTTATTTCAAACCCAGCTACCCTTCACACATTATTACAGTAATCCATGTAATCATTTGTCTCCATTTCATTCTATTAATTTTTGGAAAATAATCTAATTGCTATTTTCCTTGCATAAACTGTGATTTCAATTCAATTTATGATTCTCTTCAAATCATTTACAGTAACATTTACACACACACAACAAAAAAAGTCAAATCAAACCATCAAACATTACAACGTATTACTCAGATGCAAGAATGAAAACAAAAGTATGTTTTTCTAGGCTACCTGAATCTTTTTTCCCCACAAGATGACTCCTAACACAATAGACACATTTTTGCATACTTTCATTTACTAGAACTCTGCAACAGTTTCTGCCATCAGAAAAATTCCAATGATTTTGTGAAAGAGAACTTGCGCTTTCAAGTCCAACCACTTTGTCCCTCCTTCTCACACAGATGGACGGCCACGGCCATAAACAATGTTGGCAGTAGAAGCACCATGAACAGTGAAAAACCTGGACAAACTTCCAAATTCTCCTGCTGCTTAAAATGTTGCAGCTAATGCACCACTGTTCCAGCTTGAACTTTGAAAGAGCTCACACACACATGCAGCCCACCCCAGCAGGTGCTCGCTGCTGCCGCTGTAGCACTGAGTGCATTTACATGCACATCAGAAAACTGAACTATTACCTTTAGAGAGAAAAAAAGTCAGGTTTTTAAAATGCATGTAAACACTTTTGTCTGGCTGAAGGCGATCTGATTCAAATCGAGCTGAAGTTCCCAGATAATGCAGTAGAAGCCTGACTTTCTCTGCATGTAAACGACTCAGTCGAGCTGTGACCGGTTGGACACTCGCCTTCCGGAAGTGACGAGACCATGGAAGCGGTCTTCTGATAACTTCACAATTTAACACGTTTAACACCATCTAACAGTACAGTACATGCAGAATAAGCAGGGCTGCAGCGTTGTTGTTCATTCCTTTGACCGTTGTGGATATCCTGTTTTTAATTCCGTCTGATTCACTCCAGACAGTGTTTGGTTGCTGTTTGTGTTGCTACAGGCCAACAGGAAGAATACCGACACAAAAAGACGCATGCCACTACTGACCTTAGCAGAATGCAACACAGTTAGTTCAAGATTTAATTATTCTAACGTACGTGTAAACTAGGATAAGGGCTCCAAGTTTATTTGCTGTAGAACTCCGGTCCTCCTCTCTTTGCTCCTACACACCTGATTGAAATGAATGAGTAATTAACAGACCTGTGCAGAGTTAAGGAGGGGATTAAATTAGTCTATTCAGGTGTGATGGAGCAGGGAACACAGAAATCTAGCAGGATGGTAGCCCTCGAGGACCGGAGTTGGTGACACCTGCTGTTGATCTACTTAGATGCACATGTAAACTCACTGTCCGTTACAACCTGGGGAAACCCCCCTGAATATGTAAGTAGTTAACACAACAGATCCTGAGTCGATCAGTAGCACAGCAAAAAAAAAAAAAAAAAAAAAATAGCAGCTTTGGTAATCACGATTGTGTTGTCTGAAATTGCCATTTCAGTCAAACGACTGCCCACCCCAGGACTCCCCTAAAAATGAGATTTCAGCGGCACCTTCTTGGTTAAACTTTGTTGTGGCGTACCTTCCCTCCTTCACCATCTTTTTCTGATACCTCCCATCTTTTGAACAGTATATAATGATGTTTTGTTACCTTGAGAACATGTTCAGCTTTTACTGTTATTGTAGTGAAACTTGTCTGGTATGAAACTCTGTCCTTAGCCACGGCCAACGAGATACAGCACAGATCCTTCTCTCCCGAGGTGCCAAATATCTTGCAGACAAAAATGGAATTACACCTCTGGACCTTTGTGTGCAGGTAAGTAGAATTTCTCTCACCTTGTTAAATTTTCATTGACGGCTGTAGTTAGTTTTCTGTCCGTGTTGCTTTCAGGGTGGGTACGGCGAGACCTGTGAGCTTCTCATCCAGCACCACAGCAGGCTCTTCCAGACTCTCATCCAGATGACACAGAACCAGGACATGAAGGAGAACATGGTACTGGGTTTGTCTGTAAGTTACTGCACAGGTCTCATGTATAAAATTAAGTGTGTGTGTGTGTTCTTGTGTGTGTGTGTAGCTCAGGCAGGTTCTGGAGCATGTCTCCCAGCAGAGTCACAGTCAGTACCACAGGATCCTGACCAGCCTGGCAGAAGTAGCCACCACTAATGGACACAAACTTCTCAGGTATGGTTTCCGATTTCTTTTATCTGCTTGTGTCTTGTCTTTTAGAACATACCAAAATCTCAGATATCCAGTGTTTGGACAAATGTGACATCTTCATCATGTGATGTTAGGTGCTATGTTGAGATGTATCTCATCTGCTGGGCTTGTCTGTTTATTTTGAGTGGGTGTTGGTGCAGTTCTCTGACATGATCAAAACATCCTTTTCATCGCATAATATCTATATAAAGAGGTTATAAGAAGCTTCAGGATGCTCTTGATTCCAACAATAATTCCACTAATCTTCTCGATCCCCAGTGAGTCGTGGAGGATTGCTGCTTATACTGAGCCAGGATCCTCTGGAGGTTTCTTCCTGTTAAAAGGGAGTTTTTCTCTCCACTGTCACTAAATGCTTGCTTAGTATGAGGATTGCTGACATCAGCCAGTGACTTGATGCAACCTGCTGGGTTCCTTTATATAGGAAACTTTTTTCTGATTGGTTTAATGAACTGACCTGTATTGGCGTGTTTACTATGTGAAGTGCCTTGAGACGACTCTTGTTGTGATTCGGTGCTTTATAAATAAACTTGAATTGAATTGAATTAATTCCAGTCAGGTTTTTGAAGAGCCCACTCTACTTATGGGCATTTTCTGTATAGCTAAATATTGCTAATGCACAAAACAGGGTCTGAAAATTTCTTAAATGGTAAATGGCCTGTATTTGATATAGCGCCTTCTAGAGTCATGGAACCCCTCAAGGTGCTTTACAACACAATCAGTCATTCACCCATTCACACACTGGTGGGGATGAGCTACAATGTAGCCACAGCTGCCCTGGGGCGCATTGACAGAAACGAGGCTGCCGAGCACTGGCGCCACCAGTCCCTCCGACCACCACCAGCAGGCAACGTGGGTTAAGTATCTTGCCCAAGGACACAACGACAGCGACAGACTGAGCGGGGCTCGAACCTGCAACCTTCCGATTATGGGACGAGCACTTAACTCCTGTGCTACCGTCGCCCCAAGTACTTGCCCCTACAGCTTTTGACCAGCAGGAGTTAGCTGACATGCAGGCTGATATTTGTTTTATAAGATAAACAGAATATAAAAATTCCTGCCTAAAGCCCCTTTAAATATTATCTTTAGATTTGAAATATCTGTCATCCCTGAGCACCGTAATGTAGCTGTTTTTGGATGGTATCATTAAAATGATTATTGCCACTTCCTCTTTGCCCCCACCTTCAGATCTGACCACTTCTTTTTAATGTTTAGTCTTGTTTGTCTTCCCTGATTGCCCCGCGGCTCCCTCACACTCATAGAATAAATCTGCATAAATGCTGTGTCCTTCAAAGGCAATGAATATATTTTTCTGTGCCTTTACCTCACCCACAAACACTTCGGTTTTAGTCTCAATGAAACTGTGTTTTTTAGACCTCTCAGGTGCCATGGTTACCTGTGAAATGCCTCAGATTAGCCTGATTATGTAAATGCTAAATATTCTTTAGGTACCTTTCATTGTCCACTTAGGGCTGAATGTGGGTGTGTAGGCAGTGCCATTAAACCCACTTTTAAATCTATTATCAGTTACTGCGAAACGTGGTGTTCCACAGGATTCTGTTCTCGGTTCTGATTTATTTGTTTTTCATCTGCTTTGTTTGTGTTGTCTTAAAATCTTTTATTACAGTTTCTTATCACTGCTTACTGCTATTATCAGTCTACAATTAATATTGGCCAGTATCGGCATAAAATATTAATATTGGAAAATATCGGTAATGGTTTTCAGTCTTTTAATGACCCAACATTTATCTACCTTACACATATTATACATCAAACTCTTCAGCTGCTTCTCCTCTCTCTCAAAATGTAAAAATATGACTGATCTGAGGTAAAATTTTTGAGACAATGTAGTTTATTTGGCACAACTTGTGAAGTAGAAATTGGCCCCGTGTAGTGACTGTACGCTGTCCTAACGACACATTGCTATGTGTAGCTAGCCAGCTAACAACCAACTAAAGCAAAAACAAGAATCTTTACCCAAAGCTAAGATGTTTTTCTTGTCTGAAGATCTTTATGAATGTTTTCTCACCATAGCTGCAATATACAGAATAAGAACTACATTACTAACAAGTACACAAACCTTTGCTTCAAGCTTAAGGAGAATGAGATTCAGCTGCTGCTGGAGACAAAATAAGTGTGACAATTTTCCTATTACTAATTTACATTTCATTTTTTACAAAAACGTTTAAAATGTAAGCATGCATGTGATGTTAGTAACCTAAATGTTTGTTTTTCTTTTCTTGTTGGAAGGGGGAACAACATACAGTGCTCAGCATAAATGAGTACACCCCTCTACATTTGTCAGAAAACCTTGAGTTTTCTTATTCAGATTCAACATTTTCTATGAGACACCAAACTACAAAATACTCTCACAAACGTGGGCCATTGGCTGCAAACCAGATTTGTTCATGTTCACACACAAAGTGATTTTCCTAACAAATCCATTCAAGCCCATGTTGCAAAAAGGAGTACACCCGTCCCTAATTATAGTCTTAGGAGAAAAGCCACACTTAAGACTACAAAATTCTAATAAACGGGCATTCAACCACAGGTGAGTCTAATGATTCATGTAAGAGGTGTCCAGCAGACAGGTGACTATAAAAGGGCATTACTTAACAAAGAAAAGCCCTTCCCATTTCATGCTGTCAGCAATGGCTCCACATGGAAGAGAAATGTCACAACATGTGAGAAAGGAAATAATTTCTTTGCACAAAAATGTTGAGGGCTATAAGGAGATCAGCAAATCTTTACATATCAGTCACAGTACTGCAGCAAAAGTCATCCAAAAATGTTAGAAAGATGAAAGTGCAACCATCTTACCAGGCCGTCCTAACTTACTGGGATTTCCTGTATAATAGCACAATAAATGAAAACCATCACCAACTGTTTTATTTCAGATTACGCTCACTCTTAAATCAGTCTTGTTGGTGGCTATAACTGTTCATGTTTCCACTGTCTCCTCCAGCCTGTCTAGTAGTTTTGACGTCCAGATGAAAAGTCTACTGAGAATTGTTCGTATTTTCTGCCACGTTTTCCGTTTGGGCCCTTCATCCCCCAATAACGGCAATGATATGGGTTACAACGGCAACAAGACACGTCGCAGTCAGGTCTTTAAGGTCAGTAGGAGGAGCCCATCCTGGTCTAACTGTGTATTGTCAGTGAACTCTTAGAAGTGAGCTGATGACATCACACCACCTATCTATAACATAAACATCTCAGCTCATGTCTGGAGGGGTCCTGACTTCCGTGCTTTTGTAAACAATGTTTGTATTTCACAAACTAAGTACTGTAATTGGGATTTTCCACCACATATCAAAATGTTCTTGGATGGCACCTAGGGCTTGTATAAATTTAGGGATTGCATCCTTCCAATTATGCGTTTTAAGGCCAGTTGAAACAGTGACAAGTCTAAAATCGTAAATAAATAAACGAGAAAGTCCAAATTCAAACGATACCCAAAATGTGACCTCAGTTGTGTCCTTGTTCTTAAAAATGAAGGACGAGTCTGATGCATCCTTATTAGCAACGGCTATCCCACGAGTCGTCGCTGGCCAAATGAGACTTTTGTTCTGGTAATAACTGGGGGACAAAGTAGGAGACAAACCCATGTAAATATGTAAATGTAAATATATTAATATCTGTCAGTACAAAAGATAAAGCAGTTGTCTTGTTACGCAGAGTTTGCATAGTTCGGAAAATACATTTTTAGTCAAAAATTAGACATATCCTTGGAACAATCTCACTTGGTGGGTCGGGGTGTAACGATACGCTTAAAGGAGACATAACATGCTTTTAAGTTATTCCTTTTTACATCTAAATCCTTCAGTTGGGGGTCTAAAAACAGTGGAACTGCAGTTCTTTGGTCTGATTTCCTCATTATTGTTGCTCTACAGACCCTCATCTACCCCTGTTCTGAGGAGAGTCTTGAGAACGAGCCGTTTTGGGGTACTGTCTCTTTAAACTGGAGGAGGAGCTGTAAACTCCGCCCCCCTCCATAGTGCAGTCCTGTACTCTCCTCCCCCAGTCGGACTTTGTAGTTCTATAGAGAAATCATTATTTAGCATAGCAGATTTAGCATAGCATATTAGCATTTTTAAAACACGTGGGGAGAGTAGTTCATCAAGCTGTTTCATGGCTGCTAACTCTCTCATGCATTTGTCTGTAGTCACTCACACACACCCGTCACGGCCGACGGAGGGACAAGCTAGCAGGCACGTGCGCGCGCGCGCACACACACACACACAAGGAATGCTGCTTGCTTATTTCTGTAAAAAATGTTTAAAAAAAATGATACAGCTCATTAAAACACCATTCAAAGAATATATTTTATTAAGATCTCTATCTATATACATACATATAATTATAAATAATTTTATAAGTAGTCTTATTTTATATTGGGTGTCTTAATGGCTGAAAATGGATAAAAAGCAGTTACATTTTAATTTAAAGATTTGAGATTCTAGTCAAAAATAAAGAACATTCCTCCAAGTGTTCTTTAATGTCATCATTATAATTCTAATGCTTACAACTTTGTTTTTATTGTCTGCAATGCGTAGCCTATATCTTTATTAAATGTGTTTAGCTGTAAAGTGGTAATTCTCTCTAATGTGTACAGAGAGGTGGACATCAGTGCTGCAGTGAAATTCCCAAGATCAGTCTGCTTTGCTAACAAATATAGTTAAATCTTACCTGCATTCTAAATAAATACCGTTAGGTGAAAACATCAGTAGGCATTGAGTTATTGATACAATCCCTAACAGCCAGAATGGAAGAAGAGCATGCTGGGTCATCCTGGACCTGAGCCTGTTCTGTGTATTTACCTACAGGATGCAATAAATGTCTACGAGGCTGAGTTTGGACCATTACATCTAAAAGAAAGCATACAATCAGTGATTTTTTTTATTGTTTACATTAATATACAAATTTTCTAAGTATTAACCTCACAGCAAATAAGTAGAACAATATAATAAACAGGCTTTAGTAGTTAAAACAGGCGTTGTGCACACAGGTGCTTTGTGTCTCGGTGCTGGTGGTGTCTAGGTCTCAGAGTTCCTGTCCTCCTGCCGTCTTCTGTTGTCCTCAGGATACGGATTGATGTTTCCTGATGATGAGGGAGGGGCAGTATGTGGGCTTCAAACTGGTCCTGGACAACAGTGGGAGAACGCCGTTGTCTGAATACTGAGACCAGAGAGTTGGTGAGATGCAGATCTTCTCTACCTCATCTAGAAACGGAGTTGGTTCAGGGAAAACTTTTCCAAAGACCAGTTCCATGATGTCATCGCCATATTCTGCAATGATAGACGATAACTTTAATGACATATTTTGTTTACAAGCAGCTTTAGGAAAGTTGTTTCTTTAGCTTTCATGTTTATAGTCACGTTTGTGTTTGTTCACAAGTTCACTTTGCTGCAGTGACTTCATATTTTCCTACAAATGTAATAAAATAGTGACACTAAAATTATACAAATGATTCCTTATGAAAGGAAGCTCATTAGAGAGCAGTGCAGACAGACTTACTACATGCTGCAGCTGTTTTTGTAGGCCAGCTGCTGCTGAATTTGGGGAAAGTTATTCTGCACACATCCAGATCAGATGGTCGATTACAGAAAATAATGTAATTCAATAATTTCTAAACAGACTAAACAAGTAAAACATCAAATAAATCACTCTGCTGTCATCAGACGGAGTGATTCAGGGGGTGAGGTGTTCTTAATGATGAGGGTGGCTGAGGTGTGTCATCACTCACTTTGGTCTCGTCCAGCTACCATCTCTTTACTGGTGGGTCTCCTTCCTCAGTAGGTGACGTGAAACGCCAACATCTGAACGTTCTGTGTTCCTTAGAGGAGAAGAAAAGTAACATTAGCAAGCTGGCTAAATTATTTTTTACTAGCATCTCAAGGACTTGGAGAAGCAGATCTTCACTTACCTAAACATCAGACCAGTTTGTCCCAGCTGAGCTCATCAGGGCGTTAGTCTGACAGCCTGTCAGTGAAACACGGCTCCAGTCTTCTGGATGTGGACTCTAAAAAGCAAAGGAACATTTTTACTTTGTTTTAATTATTTTACAGCCAATTTTATCAGCTTTCCGACGCTCACGCTCATACAGACGGTGAGCTTTGCTGCGTCTGACTGATGCAGAGTTAGTTTTTATATCTGCAGTGAGACAAAAAACTAACCTCACTTCACTTAGAGATCGTTCTTTAAAACTCTATTAAATCCACTGTGTTGACGCACTTTAATGACTTTGTCACGCTGCATTTTAGCTGATATGGGACTTTATTTACTGGATGCTAAGATTACATCACACTCATGTAGAATAACACACAGGCTCTCTGCTGTTACAATCAGTGGGAGGTTATCATCTGGTGTAAAAGAAGGCGTTGATCAGAAATCACGTTTTATTCCACGAAAATCAGCCAAATCCACATTAATCTGGGTGCTAACTTTACTAGCATACTGTGCTAGCGATAGCAAGCCGGATGCTAACGCTTTAGTGCTGCTAATGCCCGTAAATCTAAAGTAAAGTTTGTCGACATTTTAGAGTGATATGAAGCTTACCGCTCTGCTGCTGTGTCCCGGTGCTGCCAAATTCAGATGGAAATAACTCCTTTTAGATAGATGAAGCCCTCAGTACTTAGCCACTAGCCTGGAGACAGAACGAACGAACCACGCGCGCGCGCACACACACACACACACACACACACACAAACAAACGCAAACACACTACTTTTTCTTCTGTGTTTTTTTAGCAGTAGTGTCATCAGCTCCTGGGTTTAAATACTGCCACACCACCCTTCCTTAAAACGAGGAACAGTTTTGAGCTGTGTGTGGCTAAAATAACCAGACATTCCACATTTTTCCAATAGGACTACAAAAAATCTTAGCGAGAAGAAAAAATGGCGGATTGGCTCTGTGTTTAGCCGAGGGCCATTACCATATTTGGTAGTTATCCTCACTAAATTAATTACTGATGTAATAGATAATGTAAAAACTGAACGGGTGGACAAATATGCCCAAAACTTAATTATTAAATATCTAAATAGCAACTCCAGTGAATAATATAAGCCTTTTTGCTCACTTAGACACTTAAAATGTGAAACACACCGTGTTAATGGATAAAAAAGTGGGTTTTTCATGTTATGTCTCCTTTAAGTCGTGTTCGGTTCAGTGTTTGAAAGAGTTTGGTTCGATAAATTTTCAGTATATTATTATTATATTTATTTATTTAATAACATCTAAAGCCGCTCCTATAGTGAGCAGAACCAGGTGTCATCACAGGCTGCTGATCAAGCATGATGTCTTTAATTATTTCACACTTTATTTCTGCAGCTATGAGTGTCACGTTCATACGGACGAGTGCTGTTTGACTGTTGATGCTCTGTGTTTTTATTTCTGCAGCGAACCTAAAAAATCACCTCACACCGCCACGAGTTTCTTCTTTAAAATGACGCTTCGTTCAGCGTCTCTACAGGCTCCAGCAGCAGTGACTGCCAGCTGGTTTGATCCGCTCTGAAAGTCGTTGATCAGAATTTGCAGATCACATTTATTAAACAGAGATCAGGCACGTGCAGCCATCATGCGTCACTCAATACAGCGTCCGTGCAGAAACTCACCTAGGAACTTTTATCTGCTGCTCTTTAATCACGCAAATTAAATTAATTATTTAGTGGAAAATGAACCGAAACTGTACGCAAGTGGACCAAACCGAAACGGTTCAACACCCCCTTCCCCCTCGTGAACCGTTACACCCCTAATGGTGGGTCTCCAATTTCTACATGTATTGCAGCTTAGTTTAGTTTCAACATCTGTGTTGCGCCATCGTGGTTTCTAGGAGATGGGACAAACACTGAAGTAGGGATTGGAATTAATGTGAAGGACAGACTGTCCAGTTCCAAGTGTCCTGAACATGGGTAAAGTTAGGACTTTACATGGGTAAAGTTGGGCTTTTACATTTTATTAAAATTTCTTGATAATGTAAAATGTTCCTTTTGTGCACACATCAAGCCCACTGCTGTTCTATACATGAGAATGTCTTCTGTTTTATCTCATCGCCTCCTGTGTGTCTGCAGCCCTTGGAGCTGCTATGGCACTCTCTAGATGAGTGGCTGGTGCTCATCTCCACAGAGCTGGAAAGGAGCAGGAAAAGCTCCTCGTCCTCCCCCTCCTCCTCCAGCAGCGAGATAGCCACTCTGCTTCTCAAGCAGCGGAAGTCTGAGCACGCTGGTACCACGCAGGAACTCTCCTCCTTGCTGGATCACCAGATCGTCATGGAAGCGGAGGCCCATGCTGACGGGGAGGACGTGATCTCCATGACAGCCAGTCGGCTCAGTGCTGTCATCCAGGCCTTCTACTTGTGCTGCTCATGTCAGATGCCACAAGGGTCAGTTCTCATCTCTTCAGCATAAATAATCAGATCAGTCAGCAAAACATAACTTAATAATCTTTGGATCTAAACAAACAGAGCTTCATAACTTCAAATCAAATACATCCAGGTGTAAAAATAACATTGATATTTTTCGAGGGCTTTAAAATACCCATATTCGGATGTGTTTGTCTTTTATATTATGTCACATCAATAATCATCTAAAATCATATTGTAGTGAACAAAGGTCAAAGAATGGCTCAGATGTCAGAGGTCATGAGCCTTACACAGAAGAAGCTGTTCCTCCTGTTTGGACTTTGAGGCTGTTTGAATCATTTTCCTGAGGGAAGTAGGGTGAATAATTCCACAGCTGGATGTGTGGGGTCCTTCATTCTTTATCTGGTTCTGGTTATTTTGGTGTGAATGTCTTCTAGAGGAGGCATGCTGCTGGTGGTCATTTTTGGAGCAGATGTAAACATTCGTTGGAGCTCCTTCTTGTCAGGACCAGTTCAGATAGAAGATACTCTTCCCCAAAAAGAAGTTACCTCAGCAGCACTGAGACCATCACTGTTAGTCTCCTCATGTAATAGGGCTGCTGGTGACCTTGTTAAGGATCCTGGTTGTATCCATATAAGGTTAGAGGTCATGTGCAGGACCCAATGTTTGGCCTGTTTCACAAATGGGGTCAATGTCTGCTTCTGAAGTCTTCAACCATTTCTTTTCATCCATCCAGGTTGTGTTTTACCCACCAATCAGCTGCTCATCATTGTTAGAGATCAAAGCAGGATGTTTTTACAATGAACATATGTGAGGAGCGTAGGAGGAGCTTATCCTTGGGAAGTTCTCATGTTGAGGACAACGGTGGAAAAGGAGACTCCATGGGTCTTCAGACACATGTCTGTCCATCAGGAAGTCCAAAACCCAGTCTCACACCGAGTTAATCTGACAAGAGGGTTGTTGATTACAGCAGCTACCTGACATCAGATATTTTATTTAATATTACAACATGCACGTGTATATTCCGGTGTATCCAAGTTATCCTATTAAATCTTTGCTTCCTACCTTGTTTGCCAGCCATTTAAATAGAACATTTGTATAATAATCCACAGCAACTGCTATAGTATTGCATAATACAAATAAGTAAAACAGATGCATCACACGCACACATGCACATGCACACGCACACACACACACACACACGCACACACGCAACATAAACATTACATCCAAAATATAGCTCAGTAGAATTGCTGTTGGTTTCTGGTTCGTGATCCGATCCGCGGATGGCTGCAGCCTGGGCCGGAACCAGCTTTCACCTTTCCTGGTTCTTTTTCTCGCAGGGGAGATTCGCTGGGAGAGCACTTCAAGTTACAGCAATCACTTTAACTTTACCACACCTATATTTCAATGAAACAGTGAGGCAGTGATTCACTTTGAACTTGATTATATAAAATGCAGAAAAATGGTATCGAGTCTAAAAACAGGCCTGGACTTCCCGGTAGGCTCCAGAAATAAAATTACACATTCAGGGGGATTATCTTAATAGACTACAGACACTTGACACTAGTCAGTGACTCGGTGCAATTTGCTGGGTTCTTAAATAGGAAATCTTTTACTTATTGGCTTAATGAACTGACCTGTTATGGAATGTTTACTGTGTGAAGTGCCTTGAGACGACTTGTCGTGATTTGGCGCTATAGGGAGCCTAAGTCATGCCCATCTACTTCCGGACCATGGGTTCCCGGAAGAACAAAAAAATGAATGTAAGTCAATGTGACTAAAAACGCTATTTTCTAATTCCGCTTGTTTTGTGCCATGGATTTCACATATGATGTCAGTGAATTTTAAAGACACATTTTGATACCAAGAACAGGGGAAACGATATTTTAGGTTTTGTGTGAAAATAAATTCAGGACTACAAATGTGCGAAAGTGACGTCATCAAACCAGACACTGAGAAAACTGAGGAAAAAGGGCTGTAAGTTCAGTGAACTTCCCACAGGAGGAAAGAACCACAATGAATCTGGTCATGTGGTAAGTAGCAGTTATTTTGGGGAGAGGAGATTATGATGCGACGTCGATTTCCGGTGTGTAGTCATGCTAATTGCGAACTTTTACAAGCTAGTAGATCTCAAAGTATGTGACTGGCGTGGACTTGCATAAATTTTTTCATTCTTCCGGGGACCCATGAGCTGACCGGAAAGGGGGGAGACTTAGGCTCCCTATAGAAATAAACTGAACTGAATTGAATGTAAGCTTGTGCCAAGATGTATTAATGTTTGCTTTGTAACTGGACAGTCACTACAATTCTCGTCTCGTCTTCCTCCGCTTATCCGGGTCCGGGTCGCGGGGGCAGCATCCCAACTAGGGAGCTCCAGGCCGTCCTCTCCCCGGCCTTGTCCACCAGCTCCTCCGGCAGGACCCCAAGGCGTTCCTGGACCAGATTGGAGATGTAACCTCTCCAACGTGTCCTGGGTCGACCCGGGGGCCTTCTGCCGGCAGGACATGCCCGAAACACCTCCCCGGGGAGGCGTCCAGGAGGCATCCTGACCAGATGCCCAAACCACCTCAACTGGCTCCTTTCGATCCGGAGGAGCAGCGGTTCTACTCCGAGTCCCTCCCGAATGTCCGAGCTCCTCACCCTATCTCTAAGGCTGAGCCCGGCCACCCTACGGAGGAAACTCATTTCGGCCGCTTGTATCCGCGATCTCGTTCTTTCGGTCATTACCCAAAGCTCATGACCATAGGTGAGGATTGGGACGTAGATCGACCGGTAAATCGAGAGCCTGGCTTTCTGGCTCAGCTCCCTCTTCCCCACGACAGATCGGCTCAGCGTCCGCATCACTGCAGACGCCGAACCAATCCGCCTGTCGATCTCCCGATCCCTCCTACCCTCACTCGTGAACAAGACCCCGAGATACTTAAACTCCTCCACTTGAGGTAGGACCTCTCCCCCGACCCGGAGGTGGCAAGCCACCCTTTTCCGGTCGAGAACCATGGTCTCAGATTTGGAGGTGCTGATCCTCATCCCAGCCGCTTCACATTCGGCCGCGAACCTACCCAGCAAGAGCTGAAGGTCAGAGCTGGATGAAGCTAGGAGGACCACATCATCCGCAAAAAGCAGAGACGAGATTCTCCTGCCACCAAACTCGACACACTCCACACCACGGCTGCGTCTAGAAATTCTGTCCATAAAAGTGATGAACAGAACCGGTGACAAAGGGCAGCCCTGGCGGAGTCCAACCCTCACTGGGAACAGGTCCGACTTACTACCGGCTATGCGGACCAAACTCACGCTCCTCTGGTAAAGGGACTGAATGGCCCTTAACAAAGAGCCACCCACCCCATACTCCTGGAGCGTCCCCCACAGGGTGCCCCTGGGGACACGGTCATAAGCCTTCTCCAAATCCACAAAGCACATGTGGATTGGTTGGGCAAACTCCCATGCCCCCTCCATCACCCTTGCAAGGGTATAGAGCTGGTCCACAGTTCCACGGCCAGGACGAAAACCACATTGCTCCTCCTCTATCTGAGATTCAACTATCGATCGGACCCTCCTCTCCAGTACCTTGGAGTAGACCTTTCCAGGGAGGCTGAGGAGTGTGATCCCCCTATAGTTGGAACACACCCTCAGGTCACCCTTCTTAAAGATGGGGACCACCACCCCGGTCTGCCACTCCCTAGGAACTGCCCCCGATGACCACGCAATGTTGTAGAGACGTGTCAACCATGACAGCCCTACAACATCCATAGCCTTGAGATACCCAGGACGAACCTCATCCGCCCCCGGGGCTCCGCCGCTGTGTAGTTGTTTGACTACCTCAGCAACTTCTGCCCCCGAGATCGGACAGTCCATCCCCAGGCCTCCCAGCTCTGGTTCCTCCTCGGAATGCGCATTGGTGGGATTGAGGAGCTCCTCAAAATATTCCTTCCACCGTCCGACTATAGCCCCAGTTGACGTCAGCAGCTCCCCATCCCCACTGTAAACAGTGTGAGCGAGTTGCTGCCTTCCTCTCCTGAGGCGCCGGACAGTTTGCCAGAACCTCTTTGGAGCCGATCGATAGTCTTTCTCCATGGCCTCACCAAACTCCTCCCACGCCCGAGATTTTGCCTCGGCAACTGCCACTGCTGCACCCCGCTTGGCTATCCGGTACCTGTCTGCTGCCTCCGGAGACCCACAGACCAGCCACGCCCTGTAGGCCTCCTTCTTCAGCCTGACGGCTCCCCGAACCTCTGGTGTCCACCAGCGGGTACGGGGGTTGCCACCACGGCTGGCACCGGCCACCTTACGACCACAGCTAGCAACAGCCGCCTCGACAATCGCAGAGTGGAACAAGGCCCACTCGGACTCAATGTCCCCCACTGCTCTCGGGACGTGGTCAAAGCTCTGCCGGAGGTGGGAGTTGAAGACCGTCTTGACAGGTTCTTCTGCCAGGCGTTCCCAGCAGACCCTCACTATGCGTTTGGGTCTGCCAGGTCTACGCGGCATGTTCCCTTGCCATCTGATCCAACTCACCACCAGGTGGTGATCAGTTGACAGCTCCGCCCCTCTCTTCACTCGGGTGTCCAAAACATACGGCCGCAGGTCAGATGATACGACTACAAAATCTATCATCGACCTGTGACCTAGGCTGCCCTGGTACCAAGTGTACCGGTGGGCATCCTTATGTTCGAACATGGTGTTCGTTATGGCCAAACTGCGGCTTGCACAGAAGTCCAATAACAAAACACCGCTCGAGTTCAGATCAGGTGGGCCGTTCCTCCCAATCACACCCCTCCAGGTCAAGCTGTCATTGCCCACGTGAGCATTGAAGTCCCCCAGCAGGACAATGGAGTCCCCTGATGGAGCACTATCTCGCACTCGTCCCAGGGACTCCAAAAAGGGTGGGTACTCTGAACTGATATTTGGCCCATAAGCACAAACAACAGTCAGGACCCGTTCCCCGACCCGAAGGCGCAAGGAAGCTACCCTCTTGTCCCCCGGGGTAAACCCCAACACACAGGCAGAGAGTCTCGGGGCTAACAAAAAGCCAACCCCAGCCCTCCGCCTCTCACCCGGAGCAACTCCAGCAAAGTAGAGTGTCCAACCCCTCTCCAGGTCTCGGGTTCCAGAGCCAATGCAATGTGTCGAGGTGAGTCCGACTATATCTAGCCGGTACCGCTCAACCTCTGCCACAAGCTCCGGCTCCTTCCCCGCCAGCGAGGTGACGTTCCATGTCCCAAAAACTAGTTTTCTTGTCCGGGGATTGGACCGCCAAGGCTCCCGCCTTGGTCTGCCACCCGATTCGCATTGCACCGGACCCTTCATGTTCCTCCTGCGGGTGGTGGGTCCACAGTTGGACGAGCCCATGTATCCGGTTCGGGCTGGGCCCGGCCGGGCCCCATGGGCGAAAGCCCGGCCACCAGGCGCTCGCTCACGGGCCCCAACCCCAGGCCTGGCTCCAGGGTGGGACCCCGGTAACCCTCCGGGCCGGGTACTCCGACTCTTCGTTTTAACCGCCATGAAAGATCCTTCGAACCGTTCTTTGTCTCACCCTTCACCTAAGACCAATTTGTCATGGGAGACCCTACCAGGGGCACCAAGTGCCCCAGACAACATAGCTCCTAGGATCATTAGGGCACTCAAACTCCTCCACCACGATAAGGTGACGGTTCAAGGAGGAGCACTACAATTCTGAAACAGAAATTTGCAGCCTTATAATTAGTCCACAATGAGGTGCCCTTGACATGAAATAAGGGACACACTAGCCTTGAATAGGCTGTCAGCAAAATTGTTATGCCCCATCAGTAAACTAACCAAGGTCAACGGTGCATTCTGATCACACCACTGCATGTGAATCTAACGCCCTTTTAAAGCTGCTTACCATAAGAGTTCTGGATGAAAAATGTCTTCAGTTTTTCTCACTATTTTTCTTTTCCACAAACTTCTTTCTTCTACTTTATCTAGAATGACTTCGCCTTGTTTTATAGAGTTTGTCTGCAAGCATGATGAGGTTTTAAAGTGTTTTGTGACCAGGTGAGTCAGTTTCTTTACACATTAGAAAGGATAGTAATCCATCTCAAATTGGTTTCCTCTGTTGTCCGTTCATCCTCTAATCTCTGGTTTGTTTCTTCTTCCTTCTCTGTAGAAATCCAAAGATCATCTTTGACCATTTTCACTTTTTGCTCGAGTGTCCAGAGTTGATGTCACGTTTTATGCACATAATTAAGGGCCAGGTAAGACCCAACACAGACTTAAAAAGGCCTAAATGCATTAGGTGTACACCTTACTTACCTTAATCTTATGACTGTGGAGGAAATTCAATCGCTTTCAGATGCAAGGGTCACTGTATTTGTGGGTGGGAAATGTCGCTTCAAAATTATATAACATAAGATTTCCTGGAAATGTGTGGTAAAGATCCATCCATTCCATCCATCCATTTTCATCCGCTTATCCGGAGTCAGGTCGTGGGGGCAGTAGCCTAAGGCGAGAGGCCCAGACTTCCCTCTCCCCAGCCACTTGGGCCAGCTCCTCCGGGGGGATCCCAATGTGTTCCCTGGCCAGGTGAGAGATATAGCCCCTCCACCGTGTACTGGGTCTACCTTTAGGTCTCCTCCTGGTTGGACGTACCCAGAAAACCTCACCAGGGAGGCGTCCAGGAGGCATCCTGACCAGATGCCCGACTTTATTATTTCATTTACCATGTCAGAGGCTCAACAAAACAGCAGCTTGGCTGGCCTTTCACACTGTAAAACACCAACCCCTTGCCCTCTGGTCCTGCCTGCATTCGGCAAAAATAAAGTCGGAGGCAGTAGAAGTGTGGGTGTCGGAACCGTCAGCCCAATACACTCAGGTCTACGAATTATTGGTTATTGTTCTTGCCATCTCCAGGCTGGCGCAGTCACATCATAAGATACTTGCTGCCTTAGGCTCAGTGCACTGGTGTACAGAGCTACGTTATGTTATCTGTTGATATATTCCAAGATGGACAGGAAAAGTAAAGGAGTGGAAAAACTAAGAGAAAGTGAGGAAAATGTTTAAAAGTATGGAACATGGAAAAAACATTTTTTAATTATTATTTCTGATTATTATCAGTCACTCAGTTTATTTATTTTTTATCTTTTTGCAAGCTGAACATGAAAATTGTTTCTTACACACATCTCCCTGCTTTATCTCTGTGATGGAGCTTTAGTAGTAAATGACTGTAGTGAGACCAGCAATGTTGTATGATGCCCATGAGGAAAAGGGAAGCAGAACTGGAGGTAGCGTAGGTCAACATGCTGAAGTTCACTTGCTCACTTCAGAAACTTTGCTTATGGTGTAGCCACGTCCTACTATTGGAGCACAATCCCCAACAACATCATTTGCCTGTCCTACAATCTATTTCCACAATGTTCCTCCTTCAGGATCACTCCTACTCCATTTCCTTCCATTAATACCATAGTGGAACAACCTATGCCCTTCTAATCTTCTAGCCCTGCTAACTTTCCATCTTGTCTCCTGAATACATGGTCCATCCATCCATCTCCCTCATCTGCTCACGTCCACCAGCTCTCTAGCTTTAGCTGTCATAGTTCAAACATTCAAATTTGCTGCTTTCAGTGCCACACTTTTGCCTTTCACCTCTTTAATTCATCAATACTTGGGATCGGTACAAGGATCACTGTCTTCAGTGACTTGATGCAGCTCGCTGGGCTTCCTTACATGGGAAACTTAACTAATTGGCATAGCTGAGTGGCCTAGTGGTACGAGTGTCCGCCCTGGGATGGGGAGATTGGGGTTGAAATGCCAGTTGGGTCATGCCAAAGACTTTAAAAATTAGACCCAATGCCTCCCTGCTTGACACTCTGCTTTAAGGGGTTAGATTGGGGGATTAAACCACCAAATTGTTCCCGAGTGTGGCCATGTCTGTAGCTCACCACTCCCCATGGGGATGGGTCAAATGCGGAGGAAAAATTTCACTCACACACCAGTGTGACAACTGATGGGTCTTTAATCTTTAACTTTGGATAACTGAACTGAATTGGAATGTTTACTTTGTGAAGTGACTTGAGAAAACTCGTGACATGATTGGGTGCCATATAAAAAATTTATTAGAAGTGTCTGATGGAGACTTCCGGTTCCGGTTCTGGTGGGGATGGCGTCTTAGCAGGGGAGGCTCTCGACTGAAAAATTATCAAAACTTCCCCAAAGTGAAAACTTTAACCAGCCAAGTGCAATCTAAGATAATAAGGGGGCATAAATGACGTCCAGAAAAAATATAAAGGCCAAGAAGTCATCTGCTGAACGAGCCGAAGACGGCGACTCGCAGCTAGCAGCTGACGCTAACGCTAGCTCCCCCGGGGCTAGCCGAAGCTACTCTCCCGCCCCGAGTGGGGATGGTCATGGGACTGAAGATGAGGAGGACCCGGTCAGCTTGACGCTGATATTGAAAGAGCTGAGAGGCGTTGGCAAGGAGGTGAAAGAATTTCGCAAAGACACGAAATCGCAACTATTGGAAATAAGAGGTGAGCTGGATAAAGTTAACGCACGGCTCAACGAGGTGGAAACCAGGGTCTCTGGACATGAAGATGAGCTCCAAAACACAGACAAGATTATGGTCGAGATATTAAAAATGCAAGAAAGGCTTCAAGCAAAACTGACCTCGCTGGAGGCCTACTCGAGGAGGGAGTCACTCAGGCTATATGGCGTACCGGAGGGGGCAGAAACGGGAGCTCCATCTATGGCCCATTTTGTGAAGAAGCTGCTTCGGGAGAACCTCGGCATCTCTTCAACAGCGCTACAGATTCAGAGAGCACACCGTGCACTTTCACCACCCCCTCTGGATGGCTCCCAACCCAGATCAATCCTGGTAAAATTCTTGTGTTTTACTATTAAAGAAGAAGTGTTAAGGCTGGCCTGGCAGAAGAAAGGTTTCTTGCTGAATTCTAACAAGATCAGCCTTGACCACGACTACCCCCCTGAGATCATGGCTATGAGGAGGGAATATGCGGAGCCTCGAAAGGTCTTAAAGGAGAAGAATCTTCGGTTCAGGACCCTTTACCCGGCACGGCTTAAGGTGTTTTTTGAAGAGCAGGGCGGGAGGAGGGGGTCCAGGAAGGAGGGCCAGAAGAGTCTGGGGGTCCGGCTACGGGGAACCAGGAGCCGGGACTGCGGGAGTCTAGGGGGCCTGCGACGGGGAACTAGGAGCCGGGACTGCGGGAGTCTGGGGGGCCGGCGACGGGGAACCAGGAGCCGGGACTGCGGGAGTCTGGGGGGCCGGCGACGGGGAACCAGGAGCCGGGACTGCGGGAGTCTGGGGGGCCGGTGACGGGGAACCAGGAGCTGGGACTGTGGAAGTCGGGGGATAGAGGACACTGGAGGACGAGGACGAAGAGGGGACTCTGGGCTAAGAGGGGACTCCGGGCTAAGGCTAAGAGGGTACTCTGGAGACTGAGGGGACAGAGGGGACTCTGGGCTAAGAGGGTACTCTGGAGACTGAGGGGACAGAGGGAACTCTGGACTAAAGCTAAGAGGGGACTCTGGAGTCTGAGGGGACCGAGGGAACTCTGGAGACAAGGACGTAGACTCTGGGGACTCTGGAGACAGGGATGTAGACTCTGGGAACTCTGGAGACAGGAATTCTGGAACAGGCTGGACCTGACACTCGTGGACGGGCTGGACCTGAACCTCGTGGATGGGCTGGACCTGATGTGGTGCGTCCAGAATCAGAAGTTTTTATTGCCATATGTGTGCCAAGTCACAACATTAGGAAATTGCTGCAGTATTTTGGTGCAGAAGGTAAGATAGAAAAAAAATTAATTAAGAGATATCCAAATATAAGAACTAATAAAACACTCATGATAAAATTATTTATGTAAAAAGTGGCAAGAATTAGAGAAGCAGCAATATACTCCGTGTAGGTATTTATCTGAGTATTTGTTGAATGTTTCAAGCACAGCATTGGGTCACGTGACTGGGACCAATCAACTTGAGTGGGCTGCCCTAGGATTTTCATTCAAAAGTCCAACTGCAGAGGGGAAGAAACTGTTTTTGTGGCAAGAGGTTCTGGTCCGAATGGATCTGAGCCTTCTGCCAGATGGGAGCGAGTCGACGAGACTGTGTCCAGGGTGAGACGAGTCAGCTAATATCCGACCTGCACGCCTCAATGTCCTAGAGGTGTACAGATCTTGAATGGAGGGGAGTTTGCAGCCAATGACCTTCTCTGCAGAGCGCACGACATGCTGCAGCCTCTTCTTGTCCCTGGTGGTAGCTCCAGCGTACCACACGGTGATGGAGGAGGTGAGGATGGACTCGATGATAGCGGTGTAGAAATGCCTCATTGACTGTGGTGATAGGTTGAATTTCTTCAACTGCCTCAGGAAGTACATCCTCTGCTGGGCCTTTTTTCTGATGGTGGTGATGGTGGGTTCCCATTTGAGGTCCTGGGTGATGGTGGTGCCCAGGAAGCGACATGAGTCCACCATCATGATGGTAGTGTCAGATAGGGTGGGGGTGGGGGGGGATGGGATGTGTGTGTTTCCTAAAGTCCACAACAACCTCCGCTGTCTTCTGGGTGTTTAGCACCAGGTTGTTGTGGCTGTACCAGGACACCAGCTGTTCAGCCTCCATTCTGTAAGCGGACTCATCCCCATTAGAGATGAGTCCGATGATGGTGGTGTCGTCAGCAACCTTAATTAGTTTGACAGACTCATGCTTGGAGGTGCAGCTGTTGGTGTACAGGGAGAAGAGCAGAGGGGAAAGAACACAGCCCTGTGGTGAGCCGGTGCTGATGGTCCGTTGGTCCGAGACATTCTTCCCCAGCCTGACTTGTTGTTTCCTGTCCGTCAGGAAGTCAGTGATCCACCTGCAGATGGGGTCAGGCACGTTCATCTGGGACATTTTGTCTTGGAGGAGGTCTGGCAGGATTGTGTTGAATGCAGAGCTGAAGTCCACAAACAATATCCTGGCATAGGTACCTGGGAAGTCTTGATGCTGCAGGATGAATTGTAGAGCCATGTTGATTGCGTCATCTACAGACCTGTTTGCTCTGCAGGCAAACTGCAGGGGGTCCAGGAGGGGGGGCTGTGGGGGTCTTGAGGTGGGGGAGAACTAGGTGCTCAAATGACTTCATGACAACAGATGTCAGAGCCACAGGTCTGTTGTCATTTAGTCCAGTGATTCTTGGTTTCTTGGGGACAGGGACTATGGTGGAGATCTTGTAACAGGCAGGCACATGAGATTCCTCCAGTGAGGAGTCCACCGGGACCAAAGCCGAAGCAGGATGCGATGCGTCCTCCGGGACCACCGCCGTATCAAGATACGATGCGACCTCCGGGGCCACCGCTTAATGAAATGGCAAAATTACAAGCATTGCAAATTTCCCTGTTATCTTTTTTGTTAAATATAACCAAACCTTTGAGCATTTTTGCCACTTAGACGCCATGCTTCCTGCTTCCTTTATCTACGCAACGTGTGTAGTGGCGTCATTCACGCCAACTGGATAGGGGGAATCGTTTGCAAAAGTGGCGAACGATTCCTAGGAATTTAAGAGATTGGAACCGGTTCTCAATTCCCACCCCTACCTGGAACCAGTCAATATCCTGGCTGCCACATTCTGGACCATCTGAAGTTTCGCTGTGGAGGTCTGCTTGATGCCTGCATAAAGTGAGTTACAGCAGTCCAGCCTGGTGGTGATGAAGGCATGGATGACTGTTTCCAGTTGTTTGTGTAAAATAATTGGCTTAATTCTGGCGATTCTCCTGAGATGGAGGTAGCAGGATCTGATTGTTCCATTAACCTGGCTGTCCAGTCTGAGCTGCACATCCAACTTCTCCCCCAGATTGGTGATCACCATTTGCTTCTAATTTTTACTGCAGCTCAGTTGTGGGCTGTTTATTTACCCTTCAGTATTTATATTTGAGCTGCATTTGTGCCTCATTACCCATGCATTGTAGCTCACCAGGGAGCAGGTCCTTGTTTTAATTACAGACTTTAACCCATTGAATTTGATTTCCTTTGCTGATTTATTCCTTGGTACATCCTGCAGGCTTAAAGGAGAAGCCTTTGTCTTTTTTTAATGCTCATCCTTCAGTCTACCACCAACGCTTGTGAAACAAAAGCATATATTATGCAAATGCATCCAGTTCTCCGCTCTGTTTTACAAATAAGAGCTGAAGTCTTTTGAAGGCTGAAAAATCCTCAATGTGAAAATTGAGAAGACGGCACAGCAGTGATTAGTGTTGGAAAGTGCAGTGCATTGTTGGATGAAGTCTTTGTTGTCCTCTGCAGCCATTCAAGGATCGCTCTGAGTGGTTCTACGAGCATCTCCTGGCCGGCCAACCAGACTCTGACATGGTTCATCGTCCAGTTAATGAGAGCGACATCCTGCTCATCCACAGAGGTACCCATAATTCCTCATACCACACACGGAAACAGACTGTTTCATTTTTGCTTTAATTCTATTTCACAGTACAACCATGGGTAAAATGGCCTGTATATGATATAGCATCTTATATATATATATATTGTTCTGCAAAACTTAGTTGGATGATTTTTTGTTTACTGTAGCTTTAAACAGTCAGGAGTGTTTAATCGGTTTCATTAATGATTGATTCTACATTGACACTGTGTTTTAATAATTTACAGGAACAGTTTTATAAAAGTTGATTTGAAGATAACAGCAGAACACCATATTCTTAAAGCAGCTGCAGTTATGTGGAATGTTTTAATGTGACTGACTGCAGCTCAGAGGCTTCAGGATGCACTCAAACTCTTAGTGTGTGTGTGTGTGTGTGTGTGTGTGTGTGCGCGCCTGAATAAAATTTGTTCAATGTTAAGTTTTTAATGTCTCATTCACTTTGTTTTTCTTTCTGTATGCCTTCATATCGATTCTGGCCTTCGGCTTCACACACAGACTCTATATTTAGGAGCAGCTGTGAGATGGTTTCTAAATCTACTAATGAAAAGCTCAAACAAGGTATCGCTGTTCGTTTCCATGGCGAGGAGGGAATGGTGAGTTTTTTGCACATCTCTTTCATATTATATACAGGTATTTGGATGTCTGTCTGTTTATTTGGCTCTTTCTCAGTGGCGGTCCCCGTGCTTTGGAATGCACATCCCACAGACCTGCGTCTTACTCTTGATTTGTCCCATTTCAAATGTAAACTAAAAGCCTTCCTTTTCCAAAAAGCTTTTTATCAATAACAACTTATTTTTTCAAACTCAAATCTTCCAACTGGTTTTTTATCATCTAAGAGTTCTGATGAGTTGGTGTGTTTTACTGTTCTTATTTTGCAATTTCTGTTGCCTCGTCGTCTTAGCTTTTGGCCTTAAAGATTTAGCCATGTTCTTATCACTATCTTAGCTGGTTTTATTTTTTTGTCTGGGGTTTATATGTAAAACTTTTGGGTAACTTGCCCTGGTTGTGGAAGGTGCTTTTCGTGTATTTTAAATAGATGGAGAGGGTGTGTGAAAGTACAAAAAAGGAAGAAGCCATGCAGAAGGCGGCACAATTTAGACGCACTGATAAATACCAAAAGTGTTGAGACACCTAAACATTTGCATTTAAGATTAAAAAATGCTAGTAAGTGGGGATGTGAATCTTAGAGCAACTCACAATTTTATTCAATTCGATTCCGATTCTTGAGGTGCCGATTCGATTCAGATTCGATTCAGAATTGATTCTCAATTTAAATCGATTCACAATCAATATTAAGAGTGACAGTTCCAGGATTAACTACTTTGTTGTACAAGTTAATTAAAGCTATGTGAAATTTTTATTTTACTTTAAACTGGTCAAGCTCAAAAAATGCAAATTTGCAAGGTAAAATAAAGTGATACTAAAACTGTAAACGGAAGTAATCTTTTTTGATCAAAAGGCATTTATTTTTGCTTACCTTGTAAAATATAACAAATCTTTAGTTACCTAACAGTAGCTTTGAAAGTACTACAGTCAAATACTTTTCAAGTATGTGTGGATACAAGTTTAACATTTAAGTCCTCAACCTGTTTAAAAAAAGTGCCTCAGATTTCTTATGAAGGAAAATGTGTTCTCTCATTTATCAATAACTTAAAATAATACATGAATAATCTGAATACTCATTTATCAACTTAGAAAATAAATATGAGAATATCTCAAATTTCTGAGCATGGAAACAATTACATTCAAGCGCCCACTTATCAGCAGATTAAAAAATAAATCTTCTCAATTTATGGGACCACAAAAGTAAAGAGTACTAACTCTCCTAACAAAGATAAAAAAACAGACAAAAGTGCATCTCAAACTTGTAACATGCCAAACATCTCAGTTCTTGGAATTAATTCTGAATCTTTATAATAATATATAATAATATTCAGACTTGAATAGATTTTTTCAGCACATCTACTAGTAAGTGAAATGTGCAGCAGTAAGAGGAAATCTAACGCTAAATCAACCAAGTACAAGAGAAGCAAACAGGAAGTGATTCAGTATGCCCATGTAAGGTGGTAAATAACAATCTTACTTGAGAATATAAAATGTTAACTAAAGACGATCCATTAAATCTCTTGTTTTTTTTCTGTGTACATGAAAGAAAATTGTCTTTCTTGAAACCCAATGTTTACTCTGATCATCAGCTGGATGTTGGATGCATCAGTGGCTTTTTTAAAAACATGTTTTTGCTAGGCTCTGAACACCTCTGATTTTTCTGTGCTATTTAGATGAGTCAAATCTGTGCTTAAGTAGTACAATGGTGCAGTGTTGAACCTTCCTCTGTGGTGCAGGGCCATGGTGTGGTTCGGGAGTGGTTTGACATCCTGTCCAATGAAATAATCAACCCAGACTATGGCCTGTTTACTCAGTCAGCTGATGGTACATGGCATTTCCCTACCAGCAACAATCACTGTCGAAAGCTGAGTGGTGTGTAAATAAAAAAAGGCATGTTTTTAATCTACAGGCACAACTTTTCAGCCAAACAGCAACTCGTCCGTGAACCCTGACCACCTGAACTACTTCCAGTTTGCAGGTCAGATTTTGGGTCTGGCTCTTTACCATCGACAGCTAGTCAACATTTACTTCACCCGCTCCTTCTACAAACACATCCTGGGTAAGAAACAGGACCGTTTGTGGATGACTGGCTCCTAATGTTTGCACCAGCTGGTTGTAGTTAGAGGCTTTTATTATTTTGACTTTGTTAGATAGTTTAAAAAGCAAATATTTATTTTCAAATGAAACAGAAATTAGTTTCAGTTGGATGGAAAAGTGAACTGTTGGGCCCTGTCTTATATAATGGAATGATTCACCCTCAGCATTTTGGTCTTTGTGAAAAGGCTGAGAAAGAAAGGTGCTGATTTCAAGGATTTTGACTCGGTTAGAAGTCAGGATTCCATTATTTATGGTTTTCTTGATTCAGTTAAATTACATTTTTTTCTTTAGTCCACTCTTTTGTTTTTTTAAGGGGCAGGCTCTGACTCAAACACTTTAAAAAGACACACCGTGGTAGCAGTGTCACCCTGAGTTGCCTGACACGGTGTGTCTTTTGAAAGCACCATGGCTGCATGGGGAGGCAAGAATATTGCGGCATTCATGCCACCAAGCTCAACAGCCTTTAGAGATGAAGCACAGTTTGCCAGACATTTACAGGGACTTGTGAAAAGACTTTAGGGGCTTCAGTCAGGATAAAAATCAAGTTACGTCCAAGCTAAAACCATATCCACGCCAGCACGGAGACCGCCCCCACACTCCCTTTATATCGCCACTGTGTAAACTTTTGTGAAAAACGCATGAACGTGCCACATTAGCACCACAGACTGACCACTTATGAATGACCAAAGGCTCTGAATCCCAGTTTCCCCACCACATGTTGACTTAGCCACAGGCAAGACTCTGAACCTGTGTAGCCACTGACTTCAAGTTTTGGGGTTTCAATATGGAAATAGGATGGTAGAAGAAAAGGGTTTGAGTGATCTGTAAGACTAGAATAGTGTGTTTCTTTGATCTCAGGGGTCCCAGTGAACTACCAGGATGTGTCATCAATTGATCCAGAGTATGCAAAAAACCTGCAGTGGATCTTGGATAATGACATCAGTGATCTGGGTCTGGAACTCACCTTCTCTGTGGAGACTGATGTATTTGGAGCAATGGAAGAAGTGCCTCTAAAACCTGGAGGTAGCAGCATACTGGTCACACAGGACAACAAGGTCAGTCACCACGACACCCACTAGGGCAGGGGTGCCCAATCCTGGTCCTGGAGGGTCAGCATCCAGCAGGTTTTAGTTTTAACACCTGATTTTAATCACCAGGTGATTAACAGGCTTCTGCAGAACCTGATGAGCTGCTGCACATGTGACTCAACCACTGGAAATGTGTTATAGCAGAGAAACCATAAAATCTGCTGGACAGTGGCCTTTCAGGACCAGGATTGGGCATCTCTGCACTAGGGCATCATGGCCACTGTTTTTTCACCTTTGTCTTTTTTACATAAACATCTTAAAGCTGTTCAGAAAAATAAAAAACATCATGGTGGAAGAATTTGTCAAATGACCATATTCAGATCTACAGCTGTAATGTTGCTTGTGCGAGCCATGCCACTACCCCCAAACTCACTGGTGGACATCAGAGGTCAGGGTGGTGGCTGTTGAAGTAAAATCTGGTGTTTTGCAGAAGTTTGCTAATAACAGCGATCAGCTCCAGAGATGTTCTGGTAAACCCTCCGCTGTCTCTGGGGGAAGATGGGACTTCACCCGCAGATAACAAAGGACACTGAGAGCTCCTCAGTTTCCAATGATGAACCTGAGCTGGACATAGAAATGGATCTAATAGTCTCTGGCACAGTAGTCACTGTGGTAGTCAAAAAATCAACACCGTGGTGGATCTCTATGGGGCGATGAGTTTTATCCTGGGTATCTCAAGGCTACGGATATTATAAGACTGTCTTGCTTGCCTTGGAAACATTGCATGGACATTTGGGTTGTGACTGTGGAATCTATCTTAAGAAAGAAGACCATGGGTTGCATTTCATCTAGAGCAGATCACACTCCTCTGCCTCCCTGGAGAGGTCTATTCCAAGTTACTGGAGAAAAGGGTCCGGTTGATCATTGAATCTTTGATTGCAGAGGAGTAATGATGTTTTCATCCTGGCCGTGGAACCTTGGACCAACTCTTTACCCTTGCAAGAGTGCTGGAGGAGGCATGAGAGTTTGCCCAAACAATCCACATGTGATTTGTGGATCTGGAGAAGGCTTATGGCCGTGGCCCAATGGTCACCCTGTGGAGGACACAAGGAGTGTGGGGTGGATGGCTCACTGTTAGGGCCATTCTGTATTTGTGCAAAGAGAGTGTGATTTGAAATATTATTTAGAGATGCATGTTTTCCAAAAATTGGAAATTTGTGCAATAAACAGGCTATTTACGGTTAATACTCTGTTAACCGTAAAGAAGTCCTCCCTTAGAAGGGGTTTTGGTTAATTTAGTGTTGTCTTCTGCAATATTATAGTTTGTTTTTATCATATTATCTATATTTTATGCATTTATTCATTTTCTGTAGCTTTAGTTTTATTTTTTGCAAGCTTTATAGCATTTTCTGTAAGTATTTTGTATAGAAGTGGTTTCCTTCAGGCTGAAGTTCTGCCCTCTAGTTTTTGCAGTGGTCAGGGTGTAGTTCTGCATAGTTCCTGTAGATGGTGGTGCCCCATTAGGTTGCAACCAGCCTCCTGTAAGAATCACCCTGTAGGAACTGTCCTTTACTTGTACATCTAAATTCTGGAGGACTCTGATGTGTTGGTTTTGTTTTCAGGCCGAGTATGTGCAGCTGGTCACAGAGCTGAGGATGACTCGAGCTATCCAGCCCCAGATAAATGCTTTTCTGCAAGGATTCCACACCTTCATCCCCCCTTCACTCATTCAGCTGTTTGATGAATATGAATTGGTAAGCCTTTCTGTTATTTATTTATTTATTGCTGCAGGTCTCTGTTCCGGTCGGTGTGACGCCTCTGAGTTTTGATGTTGGATTGATTAGTCATGTTGACTCTGGTCACCTTATAGCCTTTTTGCCTTCATTGAAGGTTTCTCTTCACAGTGCATGTTGGCAGACTTGCATCATCAGCACATTATTTATTCCTGCCTGATTATATTTTCATGTTTTACTTTCCCTCTGGCTGGCTTCCTTTAGTGCTGTAAAGGGTTTCAGATGTGTAGCGTTGTTAATCTACATAACTAGAATTTAACGCTGTTCAGCTTTTCTAAATTCTGAGAAAGATCAAACAAATTGGTAATGAAACTTATATATATATATATATATATATATATATATATATATATATATATATATAAGTTCATACACAAACTGGCTTGGTCTATATTTAATCAAAAGATTAATATTTAATTTAAGATATTTAAATTAATAGCAAAATTTATTTATTAATTCAGAAAATCTAAAGAGATCTTTGCTCATTCAGTGACCAAATATACACCACTCTGTTTTATTTCAAAGAAGAGTCAGGTTTAAAAGTTAAGAATTTATTACTAACAATTCAAAGATGACAATTTAAAAGACAATTCATAAATGACGATTTATAAAAGTGCGTGTGTTTGGATGTGTGAATGTAGGTCTCAGAAGGTTTTTATCTTAGAGAGAAAAATGCGTTCTAGGTGAAAGAATTTGGTTTGCAGATAAACTAGACTTATTTCTTAAAAACATGCATTACAGATGCAATCTGTGTTCTACCTCACCGTTCAGATGACCCTCTGTTCGGATCCGGAGGTCAAGGGAGGATGTTGATCAGCCTCTGGGTACTTGGTCCGGTAGGGTAGACCAGTGGTACCGACTCTCTAGTCCTAGAGTTGCCGCAGGAACACAGGTGGATGGTATGGCGTCCGAGCAGATTCTTAAGGAATCTCGTACTGTCAGCTTGTTGCAGATGGCGTTTCTGTTGAAGCAATTCTATCGGCGTGACAGAAAAGCTTTAGTAGATGTTTCGAGTGGCCGACTCAATCCTCTGGACTCTCGTTGCTACCATTAGTTACCATTAGTTGTATGGTGTTTGGCAATTTTGTCATAATACTTCTAAAAGGTATAGAATGCATTTAAAGAGCATTCCTCAGTCAAAATGTATTTAAAACAGTACAAACAATCCAACAAAACATTTCTTAAAAAATAAAGTTGAAGATATTTTATATAATATACAAGCTTAATATGATGAAAAAAACAAAATTCTAAATATTTAGCTTTGGCCCCCAAAATGCCTTGATACGGCCCTGGGTGGGCCAAAGTTTTAATGGTGAACTGAATTGTATCGAATATATAAATGTTACATGCTTATATATTATTGCTTTATAAAGTGAAAACATGTAGAAGGATAAATTTACCTACATTTTCCTTTTCAAGCACTTTGTTCTGTTTTCTTGATTTCATTTGACTAGTTTCCTGTTTTGTCTGTCTCCGATCTTCCTGCATCTCCTCTCAAATCTCCAGAAAAACTGCTGCCTGGCTTCTACTTTTGAGCTAAGCAGATCAAAGGGATCTACCAAATGCAACATTAGTGGGATGTGTGCTGCATGCAGCCGCACCAGTGGCGTTGAGTCGCCGGACCACGGGTGATGAGTTCTGCTGCAGCGGAGCGCGTCAGACATAAATAAAATACAGAAAGTACCTATGACTAGTCATGAATGATCGTTTGTTAATTATATATTTGAAAGTGTTACTGTGGCCATGTGGAGGACACAGCTGCCTGCAGAGCGCTGATTATTCACGTGCCCTGCAGCTCTTAGTGCAGAAGAATCCTCGATGCTGATAGTCCATGTGAATAATGTAATGTAGGTAGAAACCAGATCTCTTTTCAGGCCCAGTAAGGGATGGTTTAGCAGTATTGTCTGGGTGGAAATCAGGAGAAATTCAGGAGAATGGTAGCCCCGAGAGATTTTTGGGAGGTGCCTTGAAATTCGGGAGTCTCATGGAAAATTTGGGTTGGTAACTATGCTTATCAGACACCAAAGGAACACTGCACTGAGTTACAAGGGATTCTTTTTTCACATGGGCAGCAGATAATAATTCAGTAAAACCAAAAGATTGTCTACACTGATTCCAGATATTAACTGTCTGAACAACTATGGGATTGGCTAAATATCCGTCCATCCATCAGCAAGACGACTTCCACTGGCTGTTCGCATTTCTTTGCACACGCATTGACGAAGACCTTTTCCTTTCTGACTTCTTTATTTTCCCTCCACGGATGAAAACGTTTGCTACGTATCTCTGTACTTCTTCAGTCACGAATGTATAAACGTTCATATCATTTGACTTTTTCTACAATATCTTCTCCGATCTTACCAAATCTGTCCTTCAGCACTCTTTTAACAAAAAATTTGAGGGGAGAATGGCGGTGCTGTTGACATTCAAAAGAAGTATCGTTCTGACCAATCACCATTACCAGTCTCATCTGTCACTTAGAATGGCCAGTTAAAAAATTGGGCATGTCTCCATCACTCTCTGCGAGCCCGCAATGCATCATGACGTTGTGTATCTCCGTACCCATGCAGTCGGAGAAGAATAAATCAGACTTCACTCCTAACCTAGTAAAGTGTTCCGTCTTGTTTCGGTTGGAAACCATGACTTTGGATTTGGTGAAGCTAACTCTTGTTTTCCTCTATGGTGACCGTGCTGTTTTGTATGATGGCTGACTAAGCTATTTGACAGCTTTTACATTGTCCTTTTGTTATTTGTCCTTAAAGGAGCTTCTGCTGTCTGGGATGCCAGAGATCGATGTGGAGGATTGGTGTAGAAACACGGAGTACACTAGTGGCTATGATCGTCAGGATCCGGTGATCCAAGTGAGTTTTTCTTCTTGATACCTCACTGATAGTTTCTAATAACACAACAGTTGCTAAATATTAAAATGTATTTTTTTATACTTCTTAAATGTTCCTCTATAAAGATCACTTACCTAGACATTATCTCTCTAGGATCTGTGAGGTGGTTTTGTTTGACTGTGTGTTATTGGAGCCTGACAGCCGAGGGAACGTCACCTAGTGTCCAGAACTTTAACTCCACTGATGCATATGAAACCAATTCACTAGCTGGTTTCCATGGCACCAAGTAATATAAAAAGAGAAGTTGGTGAATATTTCTTCCCAGACATTGATGCTCTAAAAGATACAATTTTAGGCGCAAGGTCTAGTAGGTGATAGACAGGGATCTAGGTCTCAGTATCTCCAATCACAGATAATTTTCCTTTGTGCAGATGGTCATGTTCCTGAGTTGTAGGGAGAGAGTGAACTGGTAGGGACTGGTTGACACTGGGAAGCTTTTTGAGACTTCTTTGAAAGTTTCTGTAACATTTTTGCTGACAACCCTTTTTTGGGTGTGCTTCGGGAATGGTTTAGGGCGTAGTCTCCTATTAAACAGATCCAGTTTGCATGCTGGAAAAATACATGTGCAGTGCTGGTCCATGAGAACCTATCTCAGAGCTGTCAGAACTTTATGGATCTAATCAATCAGATATAGGGCTGCAACAAATGATTATTAGGATAATCGATGAATATGATGGGGCCTCGACACGATTAATCGGATTAAACGGGCACATTTTAAAACTGCTTGGAAAACATTTTTTTTCTTTCCTTTACTTTATTTAACAACAGAACATTATTAGAAAACAGCATTCAAAACAATATACTATCACCTCATCTGTCTTACAGCTTTTGAGAATTTGAACTAGTTTTAAATGGCTTTGCTTAATCAGAGTGCTGTACAAATTACCAACATAAAAATAGATATTTTTGTTGATTAAAAGTGAGCTATTAGAAACACGAAATCTAAAAACATTACAACATGCTCTCACTTCAAATATCCTACAGCCGTTGAAATATCAAATGATAAAGAATAAAAAACGCCTCATCTGAGGCCTCATCTCCCCGGAAAGACGTATTAGAATTATTAGATTCTATAGATAAACGGCTTCTGGGATTTGAGGGGCGACTTCATCTGCTCGAGGTTCTTCACCAGGAGTTTCAGAACATCCGAACATCTCTGGAGTTCAGCCAGGAACAGGTTGAGCGGCTTGCTGCTGAGAACGCGTCTCTGCGGAAGTCCGTCTCTTCCCTGGAAGAGGGAATGACTGGGATCACCCTGGACAACAAAACTCTGAAGGAGACGGTTTTGGACCTTCAGGCCCGCAGCATGAGGGATAATTTGGTGTTCGCAGGTCTGCCGGAGCAGACGGGAGGGGCGGAGAACTGCGAGCAAACAATAAAGAACTTTCTTCAGACAGAAATGAAGATACCCGACAAAAAAGTTAAAAACATCACATTTCACCGGGTACATCGCCTTGGAGCTAAAAGAGGAGACAGCAGAAGACCTCGTCCCATCGTGGCTAAATTTGAACATTTTAAGCAGAAGGATCTTGTTAAAAGTCACGGAAGAGAGCTCAAAGGAAAAGACTTCAGCGTAAATGATCAGTTCCCGAAGGAGATTCTGGATCGACGCCGGGTTCTCTTTCCGCTGCGTAAAAAGTTTATCCAGGATGGGAAGAGAGCTGTCATCTCGGTGGATAAGCTTTATGTGGACAATAAACTTTACAAGGAGCGAGGAGTGACTGACTGGCTGTTTTAGCCCAACATCAGGTCAGACATTTATTATTCTTATCAGGATTCACTGGGTTTGATCACGTCAGGATTAAACAGCTGCTAAATCCGTTTTGTAGATGATAAGATCACCTGTTAATCACCACCCCACACCCCTATTACCTTTTCTTTTTAGTTCTTACTTCTTTTTTAACCTGTATCTGTACCTTCCCTTCCTTTTTACCTGCTTCTGTACTTTACACCTGTATGGCACAACCACACAACTTTCCAACACTGCGTCAGACTCGACACACACACGCACACGCACACATACACATGCACGCACGTGCACACACACACACGCACACACACACACACACACATATATATATTAAATTCACAGCACAATATCATAATTTATGCGTCAAATAATACAACCACAAACACTGTTGGATCTTTATTATTATTATTATTATTATTATTATTTACTTTTTTGTTATTTATTTACATACTATTTATACAGTTATATACTTATTCCATCTTATTCACATGAAGGCGTCATATTTTAGCTACTCACACACACATCTATGGGTGCACTAAGGTTTGTCTCATGGAACGTACATGGAGCTGGCTCCATAGAGAAGAGATAAAAAAATTTTGATCAGTTAAAGAGAGTGCAAGCAGACGTAATATTGTTACAAGAGACTCATAGATCTGCCACATCTGCAGATGAACTTAAAACATCAGTTTCCCAGCATGTTCTCTGCCTGCTGTAACTCTAGGCAAAGAGGTGTAGCTATTTTAATACACAAAAACATCAATTTCACAGTATTGGACACAGTTTCTGATCCAGAGGGTAGATTTATAATGTTAAAATTATCTGTACAGAACCAACGCTTATGTATCGTCAGCATATACTGTCCAAATATTGATGACCCTCCATTCTTTCATAATTTTTTCTCTGTACTCTCCGAACACTTGGACTGTCCACTTATACTTGGAGGTGATTTTAATTTTTGGATGAATTCCTTAACAGACTGGCTCAGTACAGCTGGGACTCAGCGCAATTGGCAATCCACTAACATAGTTAAACAGTACATGAGTGATTATGGGCTTTGTGATGCATGGCGATCTCTTCATCCTAACCGTAGAGAGTATACTTTTTTTTCGCACGTCCATCACTCTCATTCACGTTTGGATTATTTTCTAGTCAGCAGCTCATTGTTGGCTGACATTTCAGACACTGAGATACACCCCATAGTTGTCAGTGACCATGCTCCAGTTTCTTTAACTCTGGTAAATAAAAAGACAATCCTACCAAGCAAAAACTGGAGGTTTAATACATCACTGCTTAAAGACGAAGGTTTTATAGAATTTTTTAAAAAGGAGTGGGGTTTATATTTAGAACATAATGACCTGCCTGGAACATCAGCATCTATTCTTTGGGAGGCAGGAAAGGCAGTGATGAGAGGTAAAATAATCTCTTTCTCATCACATAAGAAAAAAACGGAAAACAAACGTATTCAGGAGTTAGAAGAAATCATCAAGTCTTTAGAGGCGTCCACAGAAGAAGAGTTAATGAGCAAATTACGTAAAGCTAAATTAGAACTTCATGGAATTATTGACAAAAAGACACAATTTTTAGCACAAAGACTACGAATAGAAAACTTTGAACATAGTAATAAATCAGGTAAATTCTTAGCTAGCCAATTAAAAATAAATAAAGAGAAAACTACCATATCTGCTGTTAAAGACTCAACCGGGAATATAGTATATGACCCTGAAAGAATAAACAACACCTTCAGAGACTTTTACCAAACTTTGTACTCACCACAGATAAACCCATCAGATAATGAGATCAATGAGTTCCTTGACAGGATAACACTTCCTAAATTATCAGACAGCCAAGTTACAGTCCTGGACTCGCCACTAACATCAGCGGAGCTCCAGGAAGCCCTTAAATCCATGACAAATAGGAAAGCTCCAGGTCCAGACGGGTTCCCAGTAGAATTCTACAAAGAATTCTGGATCATTCTGGCTCCAATATTTTTCAGAATGGTGAGGGAAATCGAAGAGAGCAGCAGATTACAGCCAAACATGAATTCAGCCAATATTAGTCTCTTGTTAAAACCAGGCAAAGACCCGGCATTTCCTACCAGCTATCGCCCAATTTCTCTTATTAATGTTGATCTCAAAATAATTTGTAAAGCCCTGGCCAAAAGATTAGAGAAGGTAACCCCCTTCATAATACACCCTGACCAAACTGGTTTCATTAAGGGTAGACAATCACCCACAAATTCACGTAGATTACTTAATTTGATAGATTTCTCTTACAGTAGAAACATAGAAACTAGTATATTATCTCTAGATGCAGAAAAAGCTTTTGATAGAGTTAACTGGAAGTTCTTATTTGCAACTTTACATAAATTTGGTTTTGGGAACTTCTTCATAAACTGGCTACAAACATTATACAGTTCACCAACTGCACGTGTCAGGACGAACGACCAAATATCAGCTAGCTTCTGTCTTCAGAGGGGGACCAGGCAGGGATGCCCACTCTCCCCCTCACTATTTGCTATCTTTATTGAACCACTAGCAGCAGCAATTAGGCAAACAACAGATATTAAAGGGATAAAGTGTAAGAAAATAGAACATAAGATCAGTCTTTATGCAGATGATGTTTTACTCTTTCTCCAGAATTCTCAATCCTCTCTCTCCCAAGCAATAGAACTGATAAACTCTTTTTCCAGAGTTTCAGATTACTCAATAAACTGGTTAAAATCCACAGTTCTACCAATTAATTTCTCATTTGTCAATTTGCTTAATACACAATTGGAGTCAGGGAATATCACATACCTGGGAATTAATATCTCTCCCAAGTTAGCAGATCTAACCAAACTGAATTACATCCCACTTTTAAGGAAAGTGGAAGATGATCTTGCAAGATGGAAATCCTTACCAATATCACTCATGGGGAGAGTTGCTACAATTAAAATGATGGTCTTACCCAGAATAAATTACTTATTCTCGATGATCCCAAACAAACCTCCAGCTGACTGGTTTAAATCTCTGGACTCCTCAATTACTAAATTCCTTTGGCAGGATAAACCTCCACGAATTAGCTTAAAAACGCTTCAGAAGACCAAAGACAGAGGAGGACTGGATTTACCCAACTTTTATTATTATTTCTTAGCCAACAGGCTGCAATATATACCAAGATGGTTGCAAGATAACCCATTAGACGAGTCCTGGTTAGATATAGAACAGACACT